TCAGATACAGATTCCCCCGAAAACGTGAGTTATTTACTATTGACCACCTGAATCACATGTTCAACTTACATCTTTTCAGTCTCGATCCACACCACCACCGCTAACCACTCAATCCTCTGCTACAACCTCCTTCAGATCTCGCCTACACCAGCTATCAATCTGGCGGCCTGTCGGTGCAGGTCATACATCACTGCCTATTGTCAATACTCCCCTCGCGCAGGCTAAAGAGGTGTGCTGGATTCATTTTCTCACTGTACTACATGATTCATGGATCCATTTATAGCGCAACGCTGCGGCGGGTGCTCCCAAAAAGAATAAAGACTACATAGCCGACGAAGAATATGCTCCTTCTCGTCCTTCCTCACCCGATCCCCATTCACAGCAACCACCTGCAACAGCGCCAATTACCACCGAAGAGCATGGAAGCGGTAGATTGTGCGGGTGTTTCTAAATATCGTGCACGGTGTGGAGATGTAGTAGCCTCACAATGTCGATGTATCTGCCAAGAGGCCGATCCCCATGGGACTTGATTGTCACTGTAAGATATACTCTCATGCTATGTTTTTGATTGATTTTGCTTGAACACAAAACACCTGCGCATGATACCATCAAGGGAGGTGGTATGCGTAAGAGAAGACACTGCATGCAGCGCCTGAGTTGACGTTTGGTGGTTTACAGGAAATACTACATTCTGGGTGGGTCGGAGCGCTCTAACATGGGAATGTCATGTCAGTGAGCCGGAGAGAGAGAAGCTGGTTTGACAAGGAAGCAAACATACTGTGCACAGCTACTTAGGTTTGAACACCAGTTGGTGTCAGGGGCCTACGTCGCACGTCGAAAAGTCACCCCCAGATCCTCGAATGCATCTCAATTGCGATAACTGACATACTTGCCAACTCCTCGTGAATACAACTGATCAAGTTTTCAGCTCGATACAGCCCGCTGTGGCACTACACGAATTGATTCTGACACCGGTCATCAACCAAACACTCATTATAAATGATGAGGAACATAACGTCTATGTTTCATCCATTTTCTACTTTCCGGACGGATCTGCACTGAACATTTCTCGGAGTAAGCAGCTATGGCTACACGATTCGGCAAACAGCAGGAAATCTTGAACAGCTCGCCGTATATGTTATGATCGAGGATGACCTAAGAATTAGAAGCCCTAAGATTTCGATAGTAAAACTAGGTGGGTATTTGTACGTTGATATCGCAGTGTTTGTAGTCACTCATACCGGACTCGGATAGTCATCCCTTCTTTAGAGTCGGCCAAATCCCTGACTTTCACTGGAAATCATGAGACCCCAGGCATCAGTACGGTCACTTTGATAAACCTGCCTTGCTATCGTCTTGGATACCCATAGCATCTGAGGGGAACCAGCAGAGCATGTGAGATGACCCAACACTAAGCGGTACACTAGTTAATGGATGTTGCAGTGTATGTGACACTTTGAATGTACAGCCTGTAGCAATAGGTCGTTCGTATACCTGATTTTAAACTGCGTCTGCACTGTGCAGATCTTATGTAAATAGACGACGACGCCCTGACTATGAAACACGGATGAGCGAGAAGTCATGATGAGATTAGTTATACATGCAGCAAGATTTAGATGAGAGAGGGTGACCGAGCGAGGTAACAAACAGCAACTGGAACTATCACAACAAGTCGACGACAAAAATAAGCTATCTAAACTGAGCCAAAATCTCACTGCTCGCTGCAATAAATAATACATCCTGATTCCGTGTGAAGAGAGAAAACAAGGGGTCAGCGCAAAAAAAACATGTATACGTAAAAATTGAAGTAAGAATGTTCGAAAAGCAAGAGGAATGAAGCAAACACATAGCCCGAAAAAATCATATCTTCCATTCACCGTTTACTTGAGACGTTCCACACACCCCCGGATCGAACCATTCACGGAAGTCTTGCTCAAAGTGTGTCCGAAACATGGATGGGTCTAGGTCCTCCAATGCTGATATAGATTGCATGGAGTCTGAAGATAAATTGGATTGTGGTTGGCTCGTGGGATTTGAAGCCGGAGGTACTGAAGGTGTCGAATCGAACCATTCACGGAAGTCTTGCTCAAAATCTGCCCGAAACATGGATGGGTCTAGGTCCACCAATGCTGACATAGATTGCATGAAGTCTGAAGACATGAAATTAGGTGGTAGATCTGATAAATTGGGGTGACCTGAAGGGTTATTGATCATGAGTTTAATATCCTTCTGATCTTTCATGGGACCACCGATACCTGGTGACGCAGGTGGCGACATGCCGCCCATAGGTTTGGCTTGAGCCAAGTTCTGTCCGATTCGATTGTTCTGAGGACCAACAAACTGCTGTTGACCTTGCACAGGATGAAAACCTTGCTCAGAAACACCGGGAGCAGCCGCTACTAATAGGTTCTTCATCTTTGCGGTCATATCTTCCAAGGCCTTCAGAACAGTTGAGCGCCCGTAGCCAAGCGCCGCAGCAAAAATCGACGACTTACTGCATTGGCATTGGCCAGATTCATCATGTTATGACCTGGTCCTGGAACCATGCCTGGGCTCATGTCGTTACCAGGATTACCCATGTTCGGTGGAACACCATGCGGCTGGAAGTTATTCATGGGCGCGCCTTGCATCGGCCCTGGACGCATCATGTTGCCATCGGGCATTTGTCGTGGCCCACCTGGCATACCCTGCTGTTGCGGGTGCGGATATCCTGGCCCGGGGCCCATGGATGATGTTTGTTTCATGGGGGGAGGTGTATGGCGCTGAAACTATTCGGGAGCGTGCCATGCTCACAAATTATGTAATGCGCTGTAATATGATTAAGCCAATATTAATGATCTTCGAATGCATCTCAACGAGCTCACGCCCGTTGTGCCTTCGGCACAAATCGAAGGAGCGTCAGGGGAGGAAAATGAGTGTTGTTCCTTCGTCACAGGAAGCCAAGGAGGGCTACGCCCTCCTCTGGCTTCCTGGCCTCAGGCTGCATCCTAATAAATTGTGCATTTTGGATAATTTTGAAAATACATTTATGAGCAGTTCAAAAAACTAAAAGTACAATCTACCACCACATAAAGTACATAGTACATAGTAAGATCAGTCAGTTCTACATTCTTTGAGCAGGATTCTGACAATTACAACATATATAACAGTATCATTGAATGTATTTATTTTCCCATCTTTACCTGTTGTAAAAAAGTTCCCAGGGTTTTAAGGCCTTGCAAGACATTTTAATGCTCTATTTGGAGGGTGTCCTTATAAGGGCTTTTAAACGGGTAAGATAATATTTTAATGCCCATTAAAAGGCACTTATAAGGGCCCTTTTGATGACCTTACATTGAGTTTTGCCTCGCCGTGCCTCAGAACAGCCCATTGAAATGCATTGTAAGGCCCTTTTAAGGTGCCGAGCCAAACTTGTAATCTGGCAGTATTACAATGGTACCTAACTTTTTTCCAACACCTACCCATCTCCCAATTATCTCCTCCCGTCTCCCGTCTCCCGTCTCCCGTCTCCCGTCTCCCATCTCCCGTCTCCCGTCTCCCGTCTCCCGTCTCCCATCTCCTGTCTCCCGTCTCCCGTCTCCCGTCTCCCGTCTCCCGTCTCCCGTCTCCCGTCTCCCGTCTCCCGTCTCCCGTCTCCCGTCTCCCGTCTCCCGTCTCCCGTCTCCCGTCTCCCGTCTCCCGTCTCCCGTCTCCCGTCTCCTGTCTCTATGTCCTCCCATTCTCCCATTTTTGAGTCCACATTGTCTTCAGTGTCTCCTTTGATTTTGATTTTTTCACAACCTTCTGTCATTCATCTCCTGTCACCATATATTTGTTTTCCCCCTGTCTGTAATTGTATTATACATTGTTTCATTATTTGATGTATGTATACAGATACTACCATAACAATTACAGTAGGGAAAAACTCATCTGCCTTCCCCTGCTCAAACACATCTTTTTCATTATTTAATGCCATGTACATATACAGTTACCAATGTCGTGCTAAGTTCCCGCTATTTGAGTCAGCGCTCGAAAACACATGACAAAACCACGCAAGTTGCCAAATTGAGGTTAAGCGAGCTAAGCGCAAACCACATCTAAGAAGTAAAGTACAATGGTTTTGGAAACGCACTGTTATGCACTCAAATAGATCTGTTAGGCGGAGCCCTAAGAGGGGCGTCGTCCGCTAATGTTCGTGACGTAACCGGAAGGATCCGGTATGGCAAGTGAGACTGGCGACGACGAGTCGGCAGTGATCACAGTACGCGCGTGTCACGTGACTTCGTAGACAGATGTCTTGAGAAGTCACTCAAAGTAAGGATGGTCTTGTCCGAACGATGAGGTCGACCGAGGTAGACTTAGTCGCGATGAGCAACTAAGAAAAGATACTAGAGACTGAAGCTGAGGGGCTTTAGAGAGGAGTATGTTCCAGGGAAGATTGAGTAGATTCAAGTTAAGGAATCTAGTACAGGGTGACCGACTACTTATACTAAGTGGAGAGGGTTAAGGGCAAGGCTACCGCACAGTAGGTAAGGGTAAAGGGGATACGGGAATGGTATAGGTGCGTTGGCAACACAGCCGGATTAGTGATGGATGGTCGAATGAGGAATGAGACCGAGAAACGTTGGGATGAACCAACGGTAAGAATACAACGTGCGGGAATCCGCAGTCAGAGGGAACAGAAATAGGAAAGCCACATTGGTGGCACGAGTCAGACCGAGTCAGAGATGCAGGACCACATTGGTGGTCGAATCAAGAGAGGAACGTGCGTGCACGTGCATAGAGGCGGATGATGCGAGGGACGGGAACGGTCCCGAGGATCCGGTCAACGGAAAGTCGGTAAAGGAGGACGAGCCGGTAGATGGTGAGGGCGAGGATGAAGGGAAAATGATAGGGGGGCCACATGACCGATGTTACTTGTAACACGCACGGGCGCTCATGTGGCTTTCGCTAAAGGCCACATGGGAACGCTTAGCTCGCTTAAACCTCTTTTTGGAAACTCGTGTGGTTTTCTCACGTGAATGTGTGAAAAATACTTCTAAATTGAGATTTCAAGATGAAAAAATTCTATGGAGTCCGAAACACGATATAGTGGACAGTAATCCTCATGCTTACTGCGCCGTGGGTACAATAGGGACAAACAACTCACTTTTCCTACCATGGGGGAAAGGCATCGAGCATAACAAAAGCAATAATAGAAATTTGGTTACATTGGTTACACAATTTGGTTACACAAATCATTACACACTTGGCTGCTGCTTTTGAATAGAATTCTCGAGTTAAATTGCCTTCCCCTGCAGCCAAGTGTAATAAAGTGCAAAACACTTTTTGTGGGTGTCATTTCTTATCAAAACAATGATAAAATTTTTGACTTATTAATGAGTTTAGGCAACTCAAAATTCTGCACTTGCTAAACAACTGTTTGAATAACATAACAAAGATGGCTCAAATTCCTATTCAGTGAGTCACTGACTATTGATATATATTGCTACATGATGCTAATCATATTTGCACATTACATCATTTTTAGAGATGAACAGATAACCCCTGAGCGGGATCGTCAGTCACAACGAGAACACGATAGACTTGATCGACTTCAAATGACTTCTCCTGCCAGGTGCAATCGTCGCCATGCTGCTCATGACAATCAGGACAGACCCTTGCTGTCATGAGTACCTCATACAAATCACTATTCTTTCCTAAATTCCAAATCCTATAAGAGTCCTGTAAAGGCATCCACCTCTAAGAAAGTATTTACGGTTGAAGAAGCGCCTGTGGCGTCTATTGTAGAATTACCAGAAGTTATGTCACGTGACCTTACAGAAGAATCCGGACTTAATGACGACATGCCACGCAACACTCTTGGAATGTTCCAGAGTCTTACTACAGCCGCGACACATGTCATGATGTCATAGTTATATATAGAATTGTACGATACCTTTAATTATTCTCATTGGCTAGTTGGGTTGATACTCAGCTTCAGTCTCCGTCTCAATATATGTATATAGGTAGTCCATTTGTAGTTAGTAGTTCCCTAGTTCAAACCTCTCGTCTGTACATTGTGTACCAGCCCGGACGTACCTGCTCAATATCATTTATCCTTTGTTGTGATTATCTTGTGTTCGAGTCCCTAGTCTCCGCCCAGCGTTAATTCGTTATTGGGTTGTGACATTTGCCTGTTATACCACAGCCGAATTTTATGCCAGCCAATGAGCCACAAGCAGGTCCTGTTCAACAACCTTTTGCATGGCAACCCCCTGCACACTTCCCATATCAACCGCTGACCTGCACCAAACCGGTTCGGTGCATGGATGACTAATGCTCTCCCACGAGCCCGATACCCTAGAAATCATTATGAACAATCTTCCTTTACTTTATGGTTCAGACTGCAGTTCAGATAGTATTTTCATTTCTCAGACAGACTCAGATAGGCTGAATATTCTTGTATATTTAATTTTGCGGTAAATTCTGCTTAGTCAGCAATAACAATGACTCAGACTGAATCCCACACATGTCAAGTAACAGTGTAAAATAGTTCTTGCATAAGTTGCCTTGTGGGAACTTTCTTAACACTCTAAATACACGGCTCGCATCATTTCTACGGCCAATAAAGTAACATCATAACAAAACACCAACAAATAACATAATCAGTCTGTTACTTAATATTTGTCACATGATACTAAAGTCATATGACTCTAACAGTCAGGTGACCTATGATCCTAAACCAAATCATGACAAAGCAACCTTTTGAGATGACTAAAGCTTGATGACACAAATTATAAAGCACATGACTACAGTAAATAGTATTGGTACAATCTGACTAAGCCTATTAGAACGTGGGAAATAGTAGCACAGCCACCCTAATTTATCTATATAAGACCCCACTTTTTGCCAATAAATGCATGCATATAGGGAACTTTTAAGCCCCACAAAATAAATTTGAGTGTGAAGTGTGATCAGTATCAACAACAGTGACAAGAGCTGTTAAGCAACTGACTGAGAGGTCATTGTAAGCAACATCTAGCAATACCTTTAGCTCATCGTCAACAACTGTGAAATATCTTGAGCTCACTGTGCTCAACAGTGAGCAAACTTTTTCTTTGATTTTCTACTGGTGAACCTCTAGTCTCTTTCTTTTCTTTTCTTTCTTCTTTCTCTCTTTCTTTTTCTGTTTCTTTCTTTGTTTCTTTCTTTTCATTTGTCTCTTTTTCTGTTCAGTTCGTTCACGCCTCAGTGTTATTGTCTGAATTTGTTTCAAGATCTTTGTGTTGTCTTTACGTCCATCTAAGCACCGGCTTAGTGGGAAGACTTCAGAAGTTGATAGTGACGCTTGACCTCACTCATCTGAGTAGTGATACTGAGCCAGGGTTTTCTTTGTCTGCTAGACTTTAGTTGTTGAATAGGGGACTTGGTACTGAAATCCAAGGACGTCCGTTCCTGATTCTGTTTAATACTCATCGTGAGTTCCTTGGCAGCAGGTTCAATAGTGAACTAAGAGTTCTACTGATCACTGATTAGTCCTGACCTTTGATTCTACCTGTTTGTGCTGAGGGGGTGATTGCTATAATTTTGCACGACTTTCTGTAGTAAATTTATTACAAGAAGCATTGTTACTGAAGGAAGGGTTTCCCTTATCAATCTATTTCTTTTTTTTATCAGTACCATACTGTTGGGCTGACTTTTCTCTGTTCTCTAAACACTGCCATACCGTTGGAGTGAATCAATTTCTTTTTGTCATCACCATACCGTTGGGCTGACTACATTCTGTTTATTTTATTTTCTATTGTGTCCATACTGTTGGATTGACTGGTATTGCTACTGACCTCACAGGAAGTACTTTTGTCTGAACATAGCTTGGGGAAGTGTAAACAGCCACCCACGAACAACCACGTTATCAGTCATTGGTATTTGTCTGAATCACTGACCATGGAGATTTTTGATTTTGTAGGTGTTTATCTATAGATCATCTATCTAAGAAGACACCGCTACCAGTCGAGCGGTATCCTGGCTTGCCACAAAATGCCATTGCACATGTGGAGCATACTCATCATCTTCCTCCTGTTGATTATAATGCATGCTTGAATGAGCAAATGAATGCAGCTGGAAACAACAGACGTCGTCAGTGTAATCTCCGTCGTCAACAGGATAGAGATGAGATAAGACAGCAGGCACAGGCAGAGCTCATGGCAGCTGGAATGCAGCCTCCACAGGTGCCTCACATTCCTAATGAACCTGCTCCTCCTGTTCTTGCTCCTGCCCCCCTTGCTCCTGCCCCTGCTCCTGTATATGGCCCTATTCATTACGAGGGTGCAGTTGGTCCTCACAACTTTGAAAATCCCCTCCATTACTTTCTACCCAATCCTATACCACCTCCGCCTCCTGAACATAATTATCATCAATTTAATGTTCAGTTTCAGCATCATTTGGAGGAGGAGCGGATTAGAAATGATTTGCTTCAGAGACAAGCACAGGAGGAATTTCATGGACAGCAGATCCAGCAGCAATTCCAGCAGCAGGAAGCTGAACGTATTCGTAGACAAGCTCAAGAAGAGTTGGAGGCCTTTCACATGCAGCAGCAGGAAGCTGAGAGGCATAATAGACAAGATCTGGATATTCAGCGAGCAGGTCAACAAGCAGAAGAGCGCCAACGCCACCAGGAGCAGAGGAATCGTGAGCAACAGGAGCATCTTGAAGAGGCATTGCGTGAATATGATAATCCCGCTGTAGGGATTCATTTCTGGCTGGGCTTGCAGAGACTGTTTTTACCTTAGTGTTATGTTTGCACTTTTGTAGCTTACATAATCAAGTTACCTTTTCACCAGTTCTACTATGAGTCTGAGTATTCAGCAAGTTTCTATCATATTTCCTCTTCTCTGAGCCTTGAGCCTGGTCCAGAAACCCTTTAGGGTCGAATAGCAGCTAGGTTCTGCAAGACCCAACATTGTTCAGACTCACCATCTGAATTGTTGTACCTTCACCGCTTCTCAGCAGCAGCATGAAGATGATGAGGAAAGAAGAAGAACTCAAGAGCAAGAATGTCGCCGGCAGCATGATGCAGAGGATGATGAAAATATCAACCAGGTACCTGTCCGAAATATCCCTATCCCAGATGGAGCTTGACCATATACAGAGCCCATTGATCATCACACTCTTGGTCCTCTTAATGTGGAGTGCCCCAACTGCCATGCCATGCATTTTGCATGTGAAAGACTCACCAAATCATCTGCACGAAATCCACGGTTTGGTATGTGCTGCTTGGAGGGAAAACTCGACCTTCCTCCCTTTCCAGCATGGCCACTCGAGCTGCAACAGGCATATGGAAACAGAACATTTGTCTCCAAGATTCGCCAGTACAACAGTGCTCTTGCATTCACATCCGTAGGTGTCACCATCGAGGATAGGGCCCTTCAAGGCTCTGGCCCAAATGCTTTTCGTATCCATGGATCTCTTCACCACCTTATGGGCAGCCTGATTCCCCCTGAAGGTATTCAGGCTTCATACGCTCAAATCTACATTTATGATCCTGAACGTGCCACCGACATCCGCGCCAACCGACCAGGAAATGAAAGCCTTGATCGTCATATTCTCAGAAACCTCCATGATATGATCTATCGAAATCATCCCTATGCGGCTCTTTATAAGCAGGCCTATCAAGTTATGAGCAAGAAGCCTCCAGAGCAGCACACAGAAGTTCGTGCACGCATTCATTTTCAGCAGGGCACAGATGGTCGAAGATATAATCTTCCCACTGCTGATGAAACCGCCGCGATCATTCCTGGAGATGGATCTGAGGAGGTATCCAACAAACGAGATATTGTCTTGCGACTTCAAGGTGGTCAGCTGCGACGCATCAGTCAGCTCAGCCATGCATACTCGACCCTTCACTATGTACTTCTCTTTCCTTCTGGCGAGGAGGGCTGGCACCTTGGAATACCTCTCAACATCCCTCAAGGCAGACATACACATTCAAAAGAAGTGACCCAGCTGTTATACTATGCCTTCTGTCTTCACCCCCGCCCCATTCATATCGATAACAACAACATCTTTCGTGGTGGAAGACTGTTCCAGCAGTATGTCATTGATGCTTGGGCTTCCATCAAACAGAGCAATCTGAATTGGGTCACCAAAAATCAAAAAAAGCTTAGGGTGGACTGCTACCAAGGCCTGGCAGACAACATCCTTAATGATGGCACAGATGATCTGGCTCAGACAGGTTGCGCAATCATTCTGCCATCATCACATACTGGAAGCCCCCGCTACATGCACCAGTTGCTTCAGGATTCCTTGGCCATTTGCCATGCCTGCAAGAAGCCCGACCTCTTCCTAACAATGACTGCAAATGGGAGTTGGCCTGAGATCACTGAAAACCTCCTTCCAGGTAAATTTTAATAATTGATTTATGATGTTGTTGCTAATATTGCTTATGTAGGTCAGAGCGCTGTGGATCGTCCAGACTTGGTGGCTTGCGTCTTCTACCAAAAGCAACAAGTGCTCTTGAAGAAGGTTCGCAAGGGCTACTATGGAAAAGTTGCAGGATTGGTGTACACCATCGAATATCAAAAGCATGGTCTCCCTCACATGCATCTGCTTATCTTCCTCAACTCAAATCATAAGATAAGGACTGTGGAGCAAGTCAACTCCTTCATCTCCGCTCAGATACCAGATAGAGATGTGCACCCGCAACTCTATGAAGCTGTATCAAAATACATGCTTCATGGCCCATGCAGTCCAGAGCGTTGCTTGGAGAATGGACAGTGCAAAAAGCACTTTCCAAAGTCTTTCTGTGATCAGACATCCTTGAAGGATGATGGCTACCCAGAGTATGCAAGACCAGACAATGGTTGCACAATCCAAAAGAATAATGATGTCTTCACCAATAAAGATGTCGTTCCTCACCCTCCAGAACTGCTGGTCAAATTCAACTGCCACATCAATTTGGAAGTCTGCGCTTCAATCAAATCTGTCAAGTATATTCATAAGTACATCTACAAAGGACATGACCATGCGACTTTGGAGATGGAAGGACTGGTGGATGAGGTCAAATCATATCTTGACTCCAGGTATATTAGCTCAATCGAGGCTGCATGGCGCATCATGGAAAATGAGATGCACCTTGAATGGCCTGCTGTCTACCGCTTGCCAGTCCACCTCCCAGGTGAACACATGGTTGTCTATGATCCTGAGGATAATCCCGAGGATGTTGTCGAGCGTGCAGCAGCAAAGGAGACTCACCTCACTGGATGGTTCAAAGCCAATGCTGATGAAAATATGGTGGCAGCTGGAGCCTGTGATCTCCTCTACCAGGATTTCCCCTCAAAGTTTGTGTGGCAAAAAGTTGCTTGGAAGATACGTCAGCATGGAGTTGCAATTGGAAGAATGTATTCTGCTGCCCCTGGCTCTGGAGAGAGATTTTATCTGAGATTGCTTTTGACCGTAGTGAAAGGTATGATTTCTGCGATGATTTGTATGAATCAAACTTAATGTGTTTTTTCAAAGGTGCTACCTCCTACGAACACCTGCGGACTGTCGATGATGTTGTCTGTGAGACTTTCAAGGATGCATGTCAGCTCAGGGGTCTGCTAGATGATGATAATGAATGGATTCAGTGCTTGCAAGATGCCTCTCATATGTGCACTGGATACCATACACGAAATCTATCTGCCATCATCCTCCTCTTCTGCAACCCTACAAGCCCTGACGACCTTTGGAACCACTTCAAGGACAATCTCTGCGATGATCTCCGCCATCGTCTCACTTGCACGCCATTTAACATGCCAGATGCTACTGAGGAGGAGGTCTATGACTATGGTCTCTATCTCATTGATGGAGTGCTTCGCAAAAATGGAAAGTCTTTGGATGCCATTCCCCACATGCCTGTCTCTCAAATGGCAGCAAGATGGGGGGCCATGGAGGGTAACCAGTTGATTGCTGAGCAGCTCCAGTACAACCAAGAAGAGCTTCAGCAGGTGGTGGATAGAGGAGTTCCTTCTCTCAATGAAGAGCAGAGGGCAGTCTTTGATGCGGTGGTCAATGATGCAATGCATCGGGATGAGCACAGACCAGGACATTCATACTTTGTCCACAGTGCAGGTGGATGTGGCAAGACATATCTCTGCAAGCTCATCGCTTCAAAACTCTGTGCTGAAGGCAAGATCGTCCTATGTGTGGCTTCCTCCAGAATCGCTTCTCTCCTCCTGCCAGGTGGACGTACAGCTCATTCGCAATTCAAGATCCCTATTCCCATTCATGAAGACAGCTCTTGCAACATAAAGAAAGGAGACATTCTTCATGAGCTTCTCAAGGCCACCTCCCTAATCATTTGTGATGAAATTCCAATGTTACACCGCCACATCCTGGAATGCCTTGACCGCACATTACGTGATCTTCTGAATGTTGATGCTGATTTTGGAGGAATGACCATGCTCTTTGGAGGAGACTTCAGACAGACCCTGCCGGTGGTGCCTCATGGATCCAGGGAGCAGATAGTGGGTGCTACCTTTTGCAGATCTCGCATTTGGTCAAGGCTTCATATATTCCATCTCAAGAGAAATATGTGTCTTGGTCAAGATCCCGCTTCTGATGATTTTGCAAGGTGGCTTCTTGAGATTGGAGCTGGTAGGGGCACAAATGAAGATGGAACTGTGACCCTCCCTGCCCACATGCGGTGTCCCAACAATGATCTCCAGTCTCTCATCAATGCCCTATACTCAAGAATTCTGCTCCCTGATCATCCTCCCTTAAATGATTCATACTTCCTGGATCGCACCATTCTTTCTGCAAAGAACACTGATGTGGATGAAATCAATGCCACTATCCTCGAATCATTCCCTGGAGAAAAAGCAGTCTTTACCAGTGCAGACTCAGTCACGGAGAGAGAATATGATTACATTCCCCCAGAGTTCCTTCATACCCTCGCCCCATCAGGCTTCCCTTTGCACAAATTGGAGGTCAAAGCAGGTGTTCCTCTAATGCTTTTGCGCAATTTGAACCCCTTGCAGGGACTCTATAATGGAACTCGCATGATACTCCTGTCTTGGACCACCCGTGTCCTTAGGTGCCGTGTTCTTAGGGATGGAGATGATGAAGATCAGCAGGTCGATGAGAACACAGTCCTAATTCCTCGCATCACTATGGAATCCAGTTCTGAAGAGAACCCAATCCCTCTCAAGTGTCACCAGTTTCCTGTTCGTCTTGCATTCGCTATGACAATCAACAAGGCGCAAGGTCAAAGCATCAAGTGGGTTGGCCTTAATTTGCAGACTCCTGTCTTCAGCCATGGACAACTCTATGTGGCTTTATCTCGCTGCACCCACCCAGACAGAGTGTTTGCTATCTTTCCGGAGCATGAAGAAGGCTCAAATACAACCAATGTAGTATATACAAAAGTACTTAGAGAACTCACAGATCGTATCAATGATTGATGTACTTATATATATATAGAACTGACTGATCTTATGTACTATGTACTTTTAGTTTTCTTGAAATGCTGCTCATAAATGTACCTCTTTTTGAAATCCACTATCAAGGCGCGATCTTATTCAAAATGCACGATTTATTAGGATGCAGCCTGAGGCCAGGAAGCCAAAGGAGGGCGTAGCCCTCCTTGGCTTCCTGTGACGAAGGAACAACACTCATTTTCCTCGCCTGAAGGAGCGCTACGCGCTCCTTCGATTTGTGCCGAAGGCACAACGGGGGTGAGCTCGTGGCCTTTGGCGAAATACGCGAGATAAACGAAATAAACGAAATACGCGAAATAGGCGCAAACCACGCG